TGCACTGTGTGCTGAGCCGCTATAAAAGCCTGTGCTTACAGTGAAAATCTTTTGTGTGCTGTTCACACTTGCGATTTGCCACCCACAAATTGTACAGATGATTGTCAGTGTAAGAAGCAGAAATCAAGAGCTGGTACAGGTCGCCCTCCACAAGGGTGAAAAGGCCTGGCCCACGGGGGCATCTCACGACACCCACGGCAGCAGCCAGAGGCACGGTGGGGACTACAGCCTTCATCAGGAGGGACCAGACTGGCATTAAATCCACCCTTTGAGAAGGTTGTAATCACCTTTGGCCCTGAATGCATTGGGACTAGCCTGTCCTTGGGGCCACATGCAGGGTACGTCTCCGGGGCCAAAGAGACCTGGCAGCAAGGATTTCAAGGACTCTGCGCAGCCTCTCTGGCATCTGAAAAGCTACCCCCGCCCCCAACCTGCCCCAACTATATACAGAAAAGAAAGATTACAGAAACACAAAAATCCTCTCCAGAAGCCAAAAACAAAGATAAAATAAAACGGTTTTTGGAATTCAAGCTTTAAAAATCAAGTCTCTTTGGAAATAATGGGCAAGCAAAAAGGCAGCTCGGCATAGACTCTCCTAGCCCCAACACCCACGATGACCATCTCTCCGCTCATGCTGCGGCTTCTCGAAAACCTTTGGATCAGTGACATCGAAAGACTCAATGGCCAAGTCATTGTACAGCTTCTTTTTCACCCTTAAATTAAGTTCTTCTTTGGTTATTTCAGAGAATAGCCTCATTCTTAGGAAACACACACTGAAATGTTTAAGGATAAAGGGTCATAATATATATCGCTGACCCATAGTAAAAAGTGTGTGTGCGTGCGTGTGTGTACGTGTGTGTGTGTGTGTGTACGTGTGTGTGTGTCCTCCTCCTTTACCTCTATCGACATCTATGTAAATATTTACATACACATGTATATACCTTTGGGGGAGGGATGAGACGGAAACCAGGCTGAACGATAAAGCAAGTGGGGTAAAGTGTAAAGAGAATTTGGGCAGCCTTTGAACTATTTTTATTTTTACAACGTACCTGCAAGTTTGAAATTATTCCAAGTTTTAAATAGTGCAAAAAGTTTTAAATAGTGCAAAAAGTTTTAATTCTTTCTCTTTTCTTCTCCTGTGTATTAGCTCCTTGCTAGATACCCTCATAATTACACAACAGCCACACTCTGGGTAACAGTGTCTGTGAGGGGAGCGCCACTCCATGAGAAGGCAACAGTTCTGCTTATATGTGTAATCAGGATGAAGATTCTCTTGGAGAAACCAACCGCAAAGACAATTCTAGAACGGCCCCTCTTATGGTGTGCTGGTGATTACTGAGGGTTTATGCTGGGGTTGGAGAGGGACTATGGATAGGGAACGCAAGAGTATCTCTAGATAATTCCTTCCTCTCTTCTCTTAAAATACTACAGCCAAGGGTATCAGGTTCTCAAGGTTTTAAAAGTCATGACTATTCCTCAAATCAAGTTAAAATATACGTGAGGGGCACTGTTAAGCGTCAGACTCCTGATCTCAGCTCAGGTCATGGTCTCACGGTTCGTGAGTTTGAGCCCCGCTTCAGGCTCCATGCTGACGCTGCGGAATCTGCTTGGGATTCTCTCTCTCTCCCTCTCTCTCTCCCCCTCCCCTGCTCATGCTCGCTTTCTCAAAAATGAAAACAATAAACTTAAAAAAATAAAATATATGTAAACATACGTGAAAACAAACTGTATGAGAAAAAGAAAATCTCTGAATTATTTATGCCACTTTTTTGGGGGGGGTGGGGGGAGTGGTGTCTGAAATGAGAGGCCATAGGATCATTCTGTTGTCAGAAGAGACCCACTCTGGGGGCACCTGGGTGGCTTAGCCAGCTGAGCGCCCGACTTTGGCTTAGGTCATGATCTCGCAATTCGTGAGTTCGAGCCCCACACCAGGCTCGCTGCTGTCAGTCTGTCAGCACAGAGCCCACTTAGTATCCTCTGTCCCCCTCTGTCTGCCCCTCCCCCACTTGCGCTCTCCCAAAAATAAATATTAAAAAAAAAAATAATACAAGAATAGAACCTCTCTGAAGACTGACCTTAATCGGTACTGCTACTCCTATATTCCCAAAAAACACAACTGTGGGATGCACTTGAATGAATATATGATTAAATGATTGAGCAACACCTGAGATAAAGTTCTAGGCTCACTTCCTTATCCTTAGGAATACCCTGTAAGATGTATGAAAATCTAAGCGGAGGCATCTTTAACTATAGGGTTCTCTCTTCACAAGCTTCTATTCTCCTCTTCTTTATTTAGAATTCCATATGTAAATCTATGAGCATCATAAAGAAAAAGGTGAGATCAACTGGACAAAGCTATTTTTCACACATATAATGGAATAGGATTAATACCGAGAGTGCAGAAAGCATTCCTACAGATGAATTAGAACTGAAAAGATAATCCAAAGTAAAAATTGTCCCAAAGAGCCCATGAACAGGTATTCCACAGAAGAGAAAGCACAAATGGCCAAAACGCTCTGCCCAGGTACTCAAAGTCATGAATAAGCGGAAAATGCAAATACAAATGCAAACAGCATGTCGTAAAAACCAGATGGGCAAAAATCCCAAAGCCTGACAGTATCAACTGCTGACGAAGCTGTGGAACAATGGCACTGTCGTTTACTGCTGGAGGGAGGGGAAGGTGGAAGAACCACTGTGGGAAACACCCGGTCATTGCAGAGCAGAGTTGAAGGCATGCATGTCCTGTGACCCAACAATTCTACTGCTGGGTATATACCGAGAAGCTCTATCAAAGACGCAGCGGCGGGCGGGTGTTGTGCAAGAATATTCCTAACAACACTTGTATAATGGAGGCCATCCAAAGTCTGCCAACAGAACAGTAAACTAGCAGCTTGAGACATTTCATGCAATAGAACAGTATCCAGCCCTGAAGATAAAGAAACAATAGTTGTGTACATCCACAGAATGGTCATCAGGAACACGATGTTGGACGAAAAAAACAAATGATACAAGAATGCATACGTTGTGATTCTATTTATGAAACAGGGTTTGTTTTTAGGGATAGAAATAGGGGTAGGGGCGCCTGGGTAGTTCAGTCGGTTGAACACCCAACTTCAGTTCAGGTCATAATCTCGCAGCTAGTGAGTTCGAGCCCCACGTCAGGCTCTGTGCTGACAGCTCAGAGCCTGGAGCCTGCTTCAGATTCTGTGTCTCCCTCTCTCTCTGTCCCTTCCCCATTCGTGCTCTCTCTCTCTCTCTCTCTCTCTCTCTCTCTCTCTCTCTCTCTCAAAAATAAAATAAAACATTAAAAAAATTAAAAAAAAAGAAATATATAAGGTAAAACTATACATAACAAGGGAATGAGAAAGAAAAATTCAAGACTGTGGTTACCTGTGCCTAGAGAAGAAAGGAAAAGCAATCAGGAGGAGACATATGGACCTTGAATGGAAACCCTAATGGCCTATTTCTTAAAAGAAGTAGAGGGCACGTCCATTGCATCATTATCCTTTATACTTACACATCTTACAAATATTCTTTTGTGCGTATCCAATATTCAACAAAAACAACTTTTAAGAACTGGTGAAGAAGGAAATGACCAAAAATATTTTATCAAGACTTGTTGGAAAGGAAAACAGAGGAAAACAACATTCCAGCCAGCAGCCTCTGGCAATCTTTCCTTCCACACACGCCATACTGGCCTGTCTCTGATTCTTCTTTGTTTTTGTTTTTTTTTTTTAATTTTTTTTCAACGTTTATTTTATTTTTGGGACAGAGAGAGACAGAGCATGAACGGGGGAGGGGCAGAGAGAGAGGGAGACACAGAATCGGAAACAGGCTCCAGGCTCTGAGCCATCAGCCCAGAGCCTGACGCGGGGCTCGAACTCTCGGACTGCGAGATCTGATTCTTCTTTGTTCACTCGATCCAAAACCAACCACGGCTCCGAGTTACCAGTTGTCCCGGGTTGGGGAAACATTTCACGATATTCATTAGAAGGAACAGCCAAACTTCCTTCTCTGTCCTCCTAACCCTCATTAAAATTCAGGCCTCCTCCAGGTGTGAATGACAAGCACATTACCCCATTCACGCATGCGCACGCACCCATCCAATCTCTGCAGCTCAGTCAGGTTATTATTATATCCAACCAACTATTACTGAAAGCCATTATGACCTGACTTTTGCCTTTGACTTATTCTCTAATATTTGTACATATTTAACAATGATAATACCATATTCAAAACAAAGAATCTATCCTCCAACCTATGCCTGAAATCTGAAAAAGCTCCTTGAAACACAGACATCTGTCTATGCTCCAAATACAACCATGTAGCAACAGCCCTTTAAAGCTAAACTAAAATTTAAAGTGAGTGGTGCAGGGGTGCCTGGGTGGCTCAGTTGGTTAAGCGTCTGACTTCGGCTCAGGTCATGATCTCGCGGTTTGTGAGTTCGAGCCCCGCGTTGGGCTCTGTGCTGACAGCTTGGAACCAGCTTGGGATTCCTCGTCTCCTCTCTCTCTGCCCCTCTCCCTCTCACGCTCTGTCTCTCTCTCTCCCAAAAACATTAAAAAAAATTAGGGATCTAGAATGTTAAAAAAAAAAAACTTTAAAAAAATAAGGTGACTGGTACAGTTGGTCAGTACAGCACTTAAGAACAAGATAAATCTCGCTCCAGAAAGTCTGACTCCTCACCTTGGTAGGTCATTAAAGATAAAAAGACATTCATCTCCCCCTCTGGCCCACCTGCCACCCAGTGGATGGGGAAGAAGAAAGTTTTGCTCTATTTTCAATGTCATGAAATTTTTTAAAAACTTGTTTTCATGTCAGTTACTCCAGTGACGTCTGGCTTCTCTCAGCAGTAAATTGCCAACAGGAACAAAATAGTCAGACTGGTAAGAAAAAAAAAAAATGCTTCTAAATGACCCACCTGGAAGATTCCATCACTTAGTCCCCTGACGTTTACTGAAGACCTAGTTAGGAGACGCTGTAAAAATACAACCACTTACCTCCGCATACTGTGCGACAGAACTGGCTTCAACAGCATACACTCTCCTAGCTCCAGCCTGCACGGCAAAAAATGATAGTATTCCTGACCCACAGCCAACATCTAGGACAATCTGGAAGAAAGAGCGAAGACAACAGAGGGGTGAGAAAATGCACAGGTATGTTGGCTCCACCATGGCTTTGAGCAATTGTCTTCAGGCTAAACGCCCCAGCTTTGCTGTTTACAAATGGTCTCACCTTAGTCAAGTTAGGAATCTCCGTGAGACTCCATTTTGTCAGATGTTTAATGGGATAATAATATCCACTTTTTAAGTTTTTTTTGGAGGGATTAAGTAACATGAAGTATCTACAGAGCACCTGGCAGGTAGTTGGTGTTTTTCAAATCACTGCTCTTATTACTATGGTGTCTCTATTTTTTGTTTTTAATTTCTTTTTGAGACAGAGAGAGACAGAGCATGAGCAGGGGAGGGGCAGAGAGAGAGAGAGGGAGACACAGAATCCGAACCAGGCTCCAGGCTCTGAGCTGTCAGCAGAGTCCAACGCGGGGCTCGAACTCATGGACTGTGAGACCATGACCTGAGCTGAAGTCAGACGCTGAACTGACTGAGCCACCCAGGCTCCCCTACCATGGTGTCTTTGTAACACAGATCGCTGTTGGGACGTCCAGGGCCAAGAAAAGTAAAGCGTCATGAATAAGCTCGCCTATCAAATCTGTTAGCAGGAACAAAACGAAAAGTGTCACCGATCATTTTATATGTTTTTATACGTTCTGTGTTTTATTTTATACATGTAAAATTTTTATATATAAATTTCTTACATATTCATATACGTATATATTCAGAAATAACTGAAGATAAAGTCTTCAAAAATCCAAAAGTCGGGTTTGTGCTTTTTTTTTTTTTTTTTTTGCAGGCCCCCCTCCCCCGCCACACATACAGTTGGGGAGGTTTACAAATGGAGGGTAGGAGGGTATTAAGGCAGTGGACAGATAGAATTCTCAGAAGCTTTTTTTTCTATTCTCTGGGTTCAGACCTTGGACTTAAATCCAGACAATCACCTTTCGCTAGCACAAGGGCCCAACATTTGAGAGGCAGGAGGTACGTGGTATGTATTGGGCCTCCTCCCCAAACATGTCTGCAGCCAAGGCCCAAACTTCAACCTGATCACTGGGATTTCAGGTGACTGCTCCTGCCACATCAGTGACTCTTAACTCAGCATCTTGTAGCACTGGCTTTGAGCAAGACGTTTTGATTGGCTCTAAATCCTGATAATAAACGTCTGAGTAAACAGCATTACTAGGACTACTTTGGAGATGACCACACTGAAATTTGGACATGGACCAACAGGCCCAAGTTCATCTAGCAGCAGAGAGGGGAGTGAAGACTTGCTTCTGGGTACATCCACCTTCCAAGCGCATGTCCCGTAACACTGTACCCTGCTTACTTACGCCCATCTTCAAAAATCTGTCATTTTCACACGGCGACACCGATAGGCAATGTTAGGCAAGGAAACTAAGTATTACTTTTCGTAGGAAATTTAGAAAAGATCTCTTTTTTTTTTTTTTTTACTTTGATAGCAGGAAAATTTCCCCCCAAAATAGGAAATATCAAGAGGGTGTGTGTGTGTGCGTGTCTGTGTGTGTTTTAACCGCAGTATCACACTGTGCTGACACAGATACTGTGCCATTATTCTAAGAGAGCATGCTGTTAGTAACGGGTTCACAGTGCTCGCTTATATTAATTCGAGAACTGTGGCTGTATTCCATATGGTTTCCTAGGGTTTGGGTAATTAGGAGCATTACCAATTTAAAATGTCACCCAGGCTCTGGAATTTGCTGTCAGGCTGTCTACACTTTTAGAAATACCAACATTCCCCTCCCCTCGTCCTCCCTAGGAAATACATCATCTTCACATGGCCCTGCTCCGTGGCAAGAACACCTGTGACCACTCTTTAGCGAATGCAGCCATTAGGGTGGGGAGTACAATTCACAGCACCACCCCCCCCCCCCCCAAATAGATACGCCAGATCCGGAAGAATCTTTCCGGAGCCTTATTCAATAAAAATATAAAACTTCAGAGTCTACACCCAGTCCAAAACATGGATGCAAAATTAAGACACAATGAGAATTGCACCTGTTTGCTCTGGTGACAGGTGCCCTGAAAACCTGCGAGTGGTGCTCTTTGTCTCTTTTGTTAGGGAGCTGTGAAGCACATCTTGGAACAGCGTTTTTCAGCTCTCTTGACCCTGCAGATTAAAAACCAAAGAAATGTTTGCCGCAAAAGAGAGGAAGGAGAAAGGTAATGGAAAGAAAAGAGAAAAAGGTCAGACATGGGAGGGAGCCTGATGGATGTGGTTCAAACTTTGCCCAGATTAGTCCATTTGGTACGCTTTAATAGACCCAGACCCTATCTGATGAAAAATCCCAAATGAAGGCAATTTCCCAGGTACCTTATTTCAATACCTCTTTTCAGGCCCAAATAACCTTATTCATTTGGTTATTTCAAAACAGTGCCTAGGCCTTGGAAAAGAATCTGATCTTTTCTTAGCATTATCCAGATAATGCCATCTGCTTCCCACTTGTGTATATATGTAAAAAGTTAATAAGGGAATTTTCAGTCTGGAGCTGATGGGAGAGGGTGGGGAGAGGAAGGAACATTTTGCCTTGTCTACGTAAGCCTTGCAATGTGGGAAACAAAGCTCTGGAGGGCTTAGAATAAATCCTCTGGTGAAAAAACGAAAGGTCAAAGCAAATATTTAGGCTCTAATGGAAATATACTACCCTTTCCAGCTGGGGTTTCCAAATCCGGGAGGAGAAAGGCCACTAACACAGATAACTCTGTTATACGCTTTCCTACATGGCACTTCAGGAAGCCTTGAAGCTACCTCCAATCATATTTTCTTGCCCTCACAGAAGATGACATTGGTCCCAGTTTTTATTCTAGCACTGGTAGGCCACCACAGGACTGGGCACGTGTGAGGACCTTGCCAGATATTAAGTTATACTTTCTTGCCCTAGGGAAAAAAAACATCCCCCCACGTTGGGCAGAGGCAATAAAATCCCCTTGTATCTCCAAAGCCATCCAGTTTCCCAAGGATGTTCTCCTGACACTATCTATTTGATTGCGATGTCTCCCTGGAAAGGGGAGTTCATAGATTGTCCCCATTTTATTGATGAGGAAACGAGGCGTGGACAGACTGCTTCCAGCTCAAGGTAACATGGCCGGTAAGCGGCAGAGTTGGGCAATGCTCAACCCTCCCCACCATCGTGGCCTTCTCTCTGTGTAGTAAAAGATGAGAAAAAAGGGGTGCGCTGTGAAGAGATGAAAATCTGGGCATATCAGACACCCCCAATGGTGCCACGCAGCTAAGCGGAAAGTCCCCATATCTCCTCGATGTGCTGTCCTTGGGCCTCAGCCATCCGGCAATGACTGGCTTTCCTGGTCTCTTTTTCTGTATTTCTCTTTTTTCTCTCCCCCCCCCCCCCCCCCCCCCCCCCGGCTTGCCAACTGCAGGCCTTTCCCTGATTCTAGGCTCCCTCATGTGTGATCCCCTGTGGCGGAGGGAGCCGAGAGCCTGCCAGACGTTCACGCTCTCTCAGAGTCTGGACGACAATCTCTGCTGCCCTGTACCTCCATAGGGCCACGGGACCACTTAGCCCAATGGAGTGTGAGGGGAAGTGACGAGCGTCCCTTCTGTGGGGAGGTGGCTGAGGGTGTACCTTGCCTTCCTTCCCCACACCCTCTGCTCCTTATGGAGTCACGCTGGAAACCACCTGCTGGAGGTGAAAACAGCCTGACTCCCTGGGTCGCCACTTTGGGAAGAGCCACTCAGAACACCCTGGACGTGCCACTGAAACAATACTTTTCTGCTGGGTGAAATCCTTCTCATTTCTCCCCCTGGGGAAGTGACGACCAAGCACAGATACCACATCTCTGGGACACGTTCTCTGATGTCCCCAGTCTAGGCTGCCTGGTACATGGCTCTCCAGAAGAGCTTACCACAGGACACTGCATATACAGTAAAACCTTGGAGTGCGAGTAACTTGTTCTGCAAATGTTCCGCAAGACGAGCAGACATTTCTAATGAATTTTAACTTGATAAACGAGCCATGTCTTGCAATACGAGTCGTCCGTGATGCCGAACGTCACGCGATCACAACTGAGCCAATGGTTCTCTCTCTCTTTCTCTCTTTCACTGTGGGATTGTGGGTAATCATCCCCCATGCTTGGATGTTCAGTCTCAGGCTGCGGTGTTTGGCAGAAATCGGTAATTTTTCAGAACATTGGAAGGTGCCCCCCACTGGCAGTAGTATATTTTTTGTCACTTCAAAGCACCCATGGATGTTCCTCTGGTTTTCCGTACAAGAGTAAGCTTAGGAATGCTTTGCTCCATTCTAGGCCAGGCTGCCAGCAGGTTGTAGACCCTTTCCTCTGCTGCCTTATTGCCAGTTACATTACATAGAGTATATGACAAGAGTTTTTTTTTTAAATTTTTTAATGTTATTTATTTTTGAGAGAGAGAGACAGAACACAAGCAGGGGAGAGGCAGAGAGAGAGGGAGACACAGAATCTGAAGCAGGCTCTAGGCTCTGAGCTGTCAGCACAGAGCCCGACGTAGGGCTCGAACTCATGGACCGTGAGATCATGACCTGAGCTGAAGTCGGATGCTCAACCGACTGAGCCACCCAGGCGCCCCTGACAAGAGTTTTTAATACTGCACTGTAGTCGACATTCGTTAGTGAAACTCGTCCTACTCAATAACCCTCTTCTCTCCCGTTTCCCTCACACCAGCCACAAAGGTTTTCAAAGGTAAATGTAGGTTAATTTGCTTTTTTCTTGATATCTTGTATTTTCGTTATTATTTTGTATATTGCAATACTGTAATCATTTTTATATGAATATTTTTGGGTTGTGGAACAAATCATCTGAGTTCCCATTATTTCTTATGGGGAAATTCGCTTTGATACACAAGTACTTAGGATTACAAGCACGTTTCTGGAACGAACTATGCTCACAAACCAACGTTTTACTGTATTTTTTTTTTCTTTTAAGGTTTTATTTTTAAGTAATCTCTGTGTCCAATGTAGGGCTCGAACTCACAGCCCTGAGATCAA